TGTTCTGGGAACTGGAAGGGGGTGGCTCTCCTGGGGTGGGTGGGGTGGGGGCCTCTGGCCTGGGAAAGGCGCCCCCCGGCCAGCGGCCCAGACCCCTTGGCACGTTCTTCGGAGCTGTCAAGACTCTGGCGATGGCCGCCCCGCCCGTGGCCCTGGCCCCGCGCAGCTGCAAGGGATTTGGCGTTCCCGTACAAACGCAATCAGGCCATTTCCTGAGTCTGTTCTGGCTCGGGGGGCCCAGGGCTCAGCCTAGGGGCTGTGGAGTGGGGCCCTGTCCCCCCACATCCTGCCCACACTGTTACAGGGCTTACCACAGGCTGGGGCTGGGGTTGGAGCTCGGCCTGGAACTGGGGCCCCACCTAGTGTACCAGAGTGTACAGACCCCCACCAGCTCCCACTCTGAATGGGGCTCTTTAACTCAAGACAGTTGTTCCTGTCTCCTGTACCCCTACTCAGTGTCTTGTTCCACATCATCCTCTGCACCCCTGCTCCCCCTCCTGCTGCCTAGACCCTGCTGATAGACCCTTTTATCCTGGGTCCAACCCTCCCAGCTGCCCACCCTCTTTGTCCTCCCAAGGATAGTTCCAAAAGGTTGACAGGCTTCAGTCCCTGTTGCAATTCTGCCCTCTGCAGGCTGCCCATGTGACTGCCCCTTCCATCCAGCTTGAGCCCAAAGGTCAGTACTTGTACTGTTCTTACACTCTTCAGGGGGACTCTAGAGAGGACTGAGTAGTGGGATTATGCAAGGATATCCCAGGTCACCTTCTCCTTCAGATTACAGGGGCCCCTCTCACCACTGTCTCCTAGGTACCAGAGGACTGAAGTAGTGAGGAGCCTGGGTCCAGCCACCAGGAGGGGTTGATTTGACTTTCTGAGACCACCAGGGTCTCTTGCCTCCAAGGGAGTAGCTTCCCCAGGGTCACAACACTGCCCCTCAGAGGCTCACTTGACCTGAAAGTGGCTGCATAGCCCTTGGGAGAAGGGACAAGGAAAGCCCTGGTTCAGATTCCCAAAGATAGGTGCAGACCTCTCAAGGGTCAGTCTTGAGTGATTGCTATAGGCCGACACCCATGTCCCATACTTCTGAGCACCAGACCTTGTAGCTGTTGTCAGCAGGACTCATTGGCTGTTGGATGCAAGGGTCCTATTCTCTATGGAAAATCTACAGAGAAATGTGGAGGAACAAATACTCAATTGCCACCTACTCTGGAAAGAGGCATGGAGGTGGGTGTGTGGAGTGAGCTCAGAATGCAGGGCCCCTGGTCAGTAGGTGAGTGGACACGGGACAGGCAGGGCAGCACAAGCTCCCTCCCTGAGGCTAAGGTGAGGATAAAGAAACCTGGTCCCCATCCTTAGACACCTGGCTCTGGTCCAGTCCTCCCACCATCATCTTTCTAGCAGAGCATGGACATGGTAGGGTTACTCTTTTCTTATTGTCAGGGCCAGTATACAAAGAGGGATACTTCACTTGTCAAGACCACGTCTCCACTGCCCAGAAAAGCACTGCAGTTAGCTGGATGAGGGAGGGGTATGATCTTGCCCCCAGTAGTGAAGGATGAGTGGAACCTTTATGCCAGAGAGGAGAGTGACACAAAGTCAAATGGCAAAGAAGCCTGTAGACCCCAGAGGGACTTTGTGGCCCACAGGATGGCCCTTTGAGGTATGAGCTGATCCCACACCCAGGAAGCTCTGGTTCTATTCAGGGAGCTAGCAGGGAAGGATAGGGGAGTGGGATGCAGGCCAGAAGAAAGTGGGAGGGAGAAGCCAAGTCTGGGCCAAGATGGAATGGGGGACAGGAAGTGGCATTCAGAACAGCCCAGTGTCCATGGCGTGTACAGCAAGACCTGGGCCTCAGGTGAGAGAGGTACTGAATGAGACCTGGATATGCAGCATGGGGTGAGAGGATCCCTGGAGACAGTCAGTACTAAGTCATGGCTGTAGGAAACTCCATCCCAGGGTGAGGTCTCTAAAGGGTCCCACAGAAACAGCCTGAGTAGGTCAGAGGTAATGGGGTAGGGGTCAGGGTTAGGGTAGATGGCACAGGGAAGGCTGGATTGCAATACCTCTGGCTTCCTGGTTCTCAGGTCTCCCCAACCTGGGGCACTGCCCAGGTCAATGTTCTGTCTACTGTGGGCAGCATAAGCATTCAGAAGATGAGGGGAAAACACCCATGTTAATACCAGAGGCTCAGCCTCAGTGGCTTAGATTCCCAGGCCCTTGGTCAGATGTAACCTGGACAGCCAAGCATGCTTCTGGGATCTGTGCTTCCCATTTTCAAAAATCAAGCCCTCTATTCTGTGCTGAGTGGGTCTGCCCATTCCTCAGGACATACAAGCAGCCCATATTCTTGGGACTTGGTTAGTGTTAATCTGTGCAAGGGATAGTTCTGAAGGGTCATGGTAG